AGGGTTTAGGGGTTGAGGGGTTTAGGGTTAAGGGGTTTAGGGTTTAGGGGTTTAGACGTTTAGGGTTCAGGGGTTGAGGGGTTTGGGGTTTAGGGTTTCGGGGTTTAGGGTTTAGGGGTTGAGGGGTTTAGGTTTAGGGCTTAGGGTTTAGGGGTTTAGGGCTCAGGGCTTTGGGTCTAGGGTTTTGGGCTTCAGGGATACGAGTTTGGGTTTCGGGTTTGGGGTGTAGGGTTGTTAATAGAGGGGTAGGGGGGAGAGGGGGTAGGGGACTATACTTCCTAAACCCTAAACCCTAAACCCTAAACTTCTTTTGGGGGGTCCTTTTTACCGGTATTATTAAGGCCCCCTACCCCCCTAGGGGACCCGACGGTTCATGATATCAATCCTGCATCACCCATAATGAGGAAGCAGTTAAGTTTAGGGTTTAGGGTTTAGGGTTTAGGGTTTAGGGTTTAGGGTTTAGGGTTTAGGGGTTTAGGGTGCCAACGTAGGACCCAGCAGGCTCCTAGAATCCTTTCATTGTGCGCCATCACTTAAGACGCCATATGGGGAGTTCGCCAATTTAGGGTCACTTTGGGGGTCCTTTTTATAAGGGTGCCGTACTGTAGTGGGGACCTAAAAGGGACACTAATTTGGAGAACTGCCTATATAAGAGCCGTAAACAGGGGTCTTGAGACTACAAAAGCGCCCTTAAGACCGTTACATGGAAATATAGGGGTCTGAATCAGCGCACTTAGCAGACTATAACCGAATGTGCCCCAGAATCCCTGTTCCAATTAAGGAGCCTAAGCTATCCCCCTTTTCACCTTTACCCACCCGCCAGTTTCAGAGGAGTGGTCGTGGTTAGGAGGGTTCTCTGTGCTTACCGCATCGTGCAGGTGACGAAGGTACAGAGCTATATCTAAGTGGATAGGTGGAGTTTGTGTTTCTTGATGGTGTTGCCTATTGACCTGGTGAGTTCGGGTGCGATCCTAGTAGCAGATGTCGTTTTCCGGCCATTCTCATCGTGTGCTTCGTAACTGATATCACTTGTCACAGAAGCTGGGTCATCGTCGTGGCGATGATCGCTTCAGGATCCAGCTGTAACCAGGATCGTATCGGAGTCATGCTCGTGACAGCGGTCGTGTCTGTCGTTTGACAGATGAGGCTTGCAAAGACTTTGGTGTGTGAGTGGTTTTGCACCAGGGTTTAGAGATGCTCAGATCTGTTCGAGGGCGTTTTTCGGCAACCAGAGTCTGGGTTTTGGGGGGGCGATGGGCGGTGTTGTTATTATGGGCTTACGATGTGATGTGTTTAGGGTTCAGGGGTGTACTTCTGGCGCAGGCTGAATTCGATGCGAGCGTTTGTTTAGTTGAAATTCTCTTTTTTTGGCATTATCATCGCTCGCAGAAGCCTCTAACAACTTTCTTAGATCATTCTACACCGCTGTGTGCTGTTTGCATGGTTGCAGTCAATATAAGGCTCACACCCAGTTGGCAGAGTGTTGAAGCGCCTGCTGGCAGCAGAGAGCTTCTTAGCGCAAGGGTGATGTTGAGACGACGTTTCAACGGGAGGTCCACGTGGCTCTGTGCCGGCTTATGTAAATTGGCAACGCGATGGTTGGATTCGCGATATACCGAAGATACAAACATGACATCTGAGTCCTGAGTCGGTAGTTTTCGCACCAGTTTGTTTGCCGCCTGTAAAACTGATCAGACTGCCATGTTGTGGATCCCACGTTTCGAGCTCAAGAGTCAATCTAGACTCAAGCTGCCGTCCCTGACATTTCTCGGAGCTTCGGTGAACTTGTTTAGGCTTGTCGCTTAAGTGGAGTAGCTTCTGTTGCAAGCATCAACGAATACTTGTACCCTAAACTAGAGCGTGCTAGCAGCTACAACAAGAAGTTGAGAGACTCAACCTGAAATTTGCCCAACATGTCGACATGCCACATTGTTATCTCAACAGTCGAAAACCATTGTATGACAATCCCCTTATAGTCTTCCTGCGAACCCTAACTGTAATTATATACCCCCATCTGCAGCCCGAGGCACAAAGCCTTGGCCAAGTTTAGTTGGCGGCGCAGTCCTGAATCCTAAGCCCGAGACAGCGTCCTACCGCAAAGCGCAGCGCGATATCGTTTGGCGCAGGGACAAGCTCTTGTCCATGAGACTCTAGAAGCAACAATTTCGAACCTCTGAACAATTACCTATACTATTCCTTGGGGTTCCTTATTATAACTATATTCTACCTATACCCCGGAAACCCTATTCTAATCTTTTTAGGCCCTTACATCTTTTTCTTTGCAGCTTAAGGCCGGAAACTCTAAACCCTAAACCCTAAACCCTAAACCCTAAACCCTAAACCCTAAACGCCGGAAACT